TGTTGTGTGTCTCAGATCTACAACCACAACGTGCTGCTCGACTCCTTCCTGGGTCAGGTGACTCTACCTGCTGAACCAGGTGAGATCAGGAAGACGCTGCACCTGAAGGATAAAGGAGATCGCCGTGACAACGACCTGCCTGGTACCGTCACCGTTGCCATAGTGACCAGCTCCACGCTGACCAGCATCTGAGGCTGTTTCACTCTGAGCTGATGTGAAACCTTCCAGCGTGCAGCTCTTCATTCCGCTCATACGTCTTACTCCAGTTTACCTTTTTATCTTTCATCTTGTTTATGCGTCTTGTCGGCGGCGCTGATGCCGGCGCTAAACTTTGCACTACGTCAGGGGTTTCTTACGTCTGCTGAAGCTTCTGACGGCCGGTTTACGTACGAGTGTTCTTTAATCCTGACAGCGTCAGATCAGCCGAGCAGCAGATGTTCTGTTGGTGTCAGCAGGTGGCGCTGTGGCCTCCAGCGTCTACAGAGAACCCAAACCCACCATCAGCTGGTTTCAGGGTTTGATTGATTGGTTTCGACCTCAGTGTGGCTTTAATGAGATTCTTCATGTTTACTGATGTAGCGATGGAACCTGTGGACCCAACTGGGCCGTAGAACCGGAACAAGAACCCGGCTTCTGTCTGATCCAAGGTCTACATTGACAGCAAAGAGATCAGAGTTTAGTGTGAATTTGGCCAAAGTGTGTTTTTTCTGTTCAGCTGTTGGATCAGAACACAAATATCGAAGCATTGATGCTCCTTCAAATAAAGTTTACACCTTTAAAACAACACAAGTCTTTGCTTTGTGTGTCTTTGTTCTGTATTTTTGGCCCATGACAGAATTTTTATCATTAACTTTCTACCAAACCAAATGTCTGAAGCTAGAAATCTTTGGATATGCGCACCAGCGTGAGTCCATCAACACCTGGCGTTATCGGAGTCCTGCGCCCTGATTGGCCATCAGGATGTGAGTCATGGATGACGCTATACACCTGAGACGCCCCACCAGGCAGTTGGAACTAACGAAGTCCCTGACAAATGTGAAACGTCTTGGAGAACCAAAAGGTAAAGTGGAGATGCTTCGTCCTGAAGCTCAGAGCATCACCACCGGGAATGTCTCCAGCCATCCCTGACCAGGCAGCGCCGTGGTTCTGGAGCCATTCTGGTTCAGTTGGCAAAACAAACTGTTCTATGGAACTGTAACGTCACATTTTTTTACTTTATCTTTTGGTCGTCTTTTTTCTTTCAGACCGACATGAACATCAGAGTTCTGGTTCAGCCCGTGACCCGATAACGTTGGACAGAGTTGGTAAAATCCAAAGTATTGAAAATATGTCATCACTTTAACCAAATATAAACTAAAGCCGCAAGCGGCGATGGACGGGTCCTCGCCCTACGCTTGTCGGCCTTCGCACACGGCGGGACTGTGATCCGGCATGTCGAGTTTGGGGCAGATCGGAGCAAGTGTGGCCTAGTTACGAGCCACTTCCTGTTTCGTGGCNGTCCATCATATGGTCCACCGTCTGGTCCATCATCTAGTCCAGCGTCTGGTCCAGTGTCTGCTGCCTCGCTGGAAGGATGAACCGTCTGAAGGTTCACATCCTGGAAGGAACGTCGTCGTCACTTCATGCAAACCTTCAGATGGAAGAACTAAACCGCTGAGCAACCAAAGATGGAGCTTTTTCCACTGACACAAAACTGTGGAAACGTAGAAGGAAGCAAAGAACCAGAACAAGAAGCAAAATGATGTAAACTGACTCAGTCACACTGAACAGCTTCAACAAAACGATGCAAAACGCAGAATGTGACACAAAACGGGACGAACAGGAAACAGAAGCTGACCACAGTGAGACAGGACATGAGGACTAAATGACCCAAATAGAGAACAAATGGGCCAAAACCACGACGAGCAGAACATTCTGAAATTAAATGACCGACATGAGACTCACAGCAAAGACGCAGAACGAGCACGAGGCCCAGAAGCTCCACACCGAGATGAAGACGATGAAAACACGATACAGATTAAATGTAAATGGTCTGAAACTGGTTGAGACTCAAATCGCCGTGACGGCAACAGACGACGTTTTAGAGACACAGATGTGAAACGTCTGGACGACAAACGGAACAGAACTTTAGGAACCATGGAGGTTCTCAGCAGAGGCTTGTCCAAGGCTGAAGCCGGTTTAAAGAGTGAATTGTTGTTGTGTTGCTGGTCCAATGTCACTAACAGAATAACCCTCTGGTTCTGGTTCTGGTTCTGTCCTGCAGCGAGCTGACTCTGGATGAACCTCCTCAGACCTGCTGGTCCGGTTTGTGTGGTTTCCCGTCGCTGGTGTCTCAGGTCCATGTTCTGCAGGCGGACGGACTCGCAGCTCAGGACTCAGACGGAGGTTCGGTTCCTTTATTAGACCCGAGAATGTTTCCTGAGTCCAACTCGTCTTTAAAAATGGTTCCACCTCAAATGAAACCTGCATGTATGAGATTAGTGACGTTCTGAGGACACCAGTCTGTTTTACTGTCCCTGTGAGGACACACACACAGTGACCACGTTTTATTGTGAAAGTCTGGTCTAGAGTCAGTAATGTGTGTGTGTGTGTGTGTGTGTGTGTGTGTGTGTACGTGCAGTGTCGGACCCCTACGTGATCATCACCTGTGAAGGTGAGAAGGTGCGCTCTGCGGTCCAGAAGAACACCTGTAGCCCCGCCTTCAACACCAAGGGACTGTTCTACAGGAAGAGGAGCAACCGGCCAATCAGCATCCAGGTCAGGACAGGTGTAGGTCTGTGTGTGTGCATGTGTGTGTGTGTGTGTGTGTGTGTGTGTGTGTGTGTGNGTTATTACAACATGCTGTATTGATTGTAGGGGAAAACCTCGTTCCTCTAATTGAACTTGTTGGTTGAACATAACTTCATCAAAAATCATCTGAAGTCAAGAGCATTGGTTCAAACTGTTTTCCGTCGTGTGGACGTAGTTCTGCTGTGCACCTGATTAAAGCAGCGTCTGTGTGCTGCAGGTGGAGCTGAACAGGAAGTACCGCATGCATGCTCCCCAGCAGAAGGTTGGCGGCAGCATCTACATCAACTCCAGGTCGGTGTTTCTTCGGACCGACCTGCCAGAAGGTCGATACGTCGTCATCACCACCACCTTCGAACCGGGTCTGGAGGGAGAATTCCTGCTGCGCATCTTCACCGACGTACCATCGGACTGCAGGTAAGAACCCACTGGTCCACCATCTGGTCCACCATCTGGTCCACTGTCTGGTCCACTGTCTGGTCCATCATCTGGTCCACCGACTGGTCCAGTGTCTGGTCCATCATCTAGTCCACCGTCTGGTCCGTCGTCTGGTCCAGTGTCTGGTCCACCGTCTGGTCCAGCGTCTGGTCCACCGTCTGGTCCACCGTCTGGTCCACCGTCTGGTCCACCGTCTGGTCCACCGTCTGGTCCATCATATGGTCCACCGTCTGGTCCATCATCTAGTCCAGCGTCTGGTCCGGCGTCTGGTCCAGTGTCTGGTCCA